TACTGGGACTGCGCAGGAGGTGGAAAGCATCCGGTCTGGGCTGACCACAGGGCCCAGTGGTGTTGGGGGGCAGGGCCAGGGGATACCTTTCCAGTAAGCCCTCATAGCCCCCCACAGCTCCCAGTGCTGCACAAACCAGAATAAACCAGTAGGGGTCACTAGGGACCAGTATGGGGCTTGGGGAGGCCTCTACAGGAGCTCCTGGTGCTTCTATCCAGTGCTCACCATATGGCTCAGTGTCACCCACAGTGCTCCCATGTGAGGTGCAGGACCAGTAGGGACCAGTAGGGATGCGTATAAACCAGTATGGACCAGTAGGGATCAATAGGGACCAGTATGGGGCTTGGAGATGCCTCCAAAGAGCTCCTGGTGCTTCCTCCCAGTGCTCCCAGTATGGCCCAGTGTCACTCCCAGTGGTCCCACATGTGGTCCCGGACCAGTAGGGACCAGTAGGGACCAGTATGGGTCAGTATGGACCAGTATGGGTTTTGGGGAGGACTCTAGACAGCTCCTGGTGCTTCTTCCCAGTGCTCCCAGTATGGCCCAGTGTCACCCACAGTCTCCCAGGACCAGTAAGGAATAGCAGGGACCAGTATGGCATGACTGACCCGCCTTCCAGTGCCTCCCAGTGCCTCCCAGTCCACTCCCAGTCCACTCCCAATCCCTCCCAGTCCGCCCAATCCCTCCCAATCCCCTCCCAGTCCTCCCAGTCCCCCCCCCAACCCCCCCCAGCCCGCCCAATCCCTCCCAACCCCCTCCCAGTCCTCCCAGTCCCTCCCACTCCCTTCCAGTCCCTCCCAATTCCCCCCGGGTCCCGTCCCAGTCCCTCCCAGTCACCATATCCTGCCAGGATTGAGGCTCCCAGGACGATGATGAAGGTTTGGATCAGGTCGGCAAACATCAAAGCAGCCAAACCCCCTGAGGCCACGCCCATATCGTCAGACCACGCCCGTTTCTATCAGGTCACGCCCCTTTCCCTTAGCCCCTCCCCAATCCCCCAGGAGTCCATGGCCACCCCTGTCAATCAAAACGAGGGGTCTACAGGCCATGCCACGCCTTTTAGCCACACCCCCTCCCCTGTCAATCATCACATTTCAGCTCCTTAGAGACTTCCCAGTCCCTCCCAGTTCCAACTCAGATCCATGCCAGTCCTCCCAGTCATCTCCCAGTTCCATCCCAGTCTATCCTAGTTCCTCCCAATCCCTCCTAATCCCCTTCCAGTCCCTCCCAGTGCCTCCCATTCCCCTCTTAATCACACCCAATCCCCTCCCAGTTCCATCCCAGTCTATCCTAGTTCCTCCCAATCCCTCCTAATCCCCTTCCAGTCCCTCCCAGTGCCTCCCACTCCTTCCAAATCTCCTCCCAGTCCCTCCCAGTCCTTCCCAGTCCATCCCAGTCACTCTCAGTCCCCTCCCAGTCCCTCCCATTCCCCTCTTAATCACACCCAATCCCCTCCCAGTTCCATCCCAGTTCCTCCCAGTTCCTTCCCAGTCCCACCCAATCGCTCCCAGACCATCCCAGTCTC